AGAACTTGTGCCCTCCTACTCATGCATCATGCTCTCTTACCACTTGGGCTGAAGGGGGATTTGTGATCATTTGCACTCAAATCACCTTTGATGTATTTGAGTTAATTTTAAAAATATTTGTTCTAAAAAAATCTGATTTTTTCCTGTTTTTGAAGGAACACAAATCCCTATTTTTAAGTGCCGATTTTTTTTCTAAACTTTCCATGTGCATTTTTATTATAGGTATCATTCTTTTTCTATTAAAATAGTGATATTTTTTGTCTTCTAAAACATGGGATTCTACTTTCGCACATGCCATTTTTATTACTAAGAGCATGTGCACTCCGTTCCTTGATATAATGTATATAGATTTTTGAGGGAAAATCCGAAATATAAGGTGTATTACGTTGCACCACTCGTTTGAATAATTTTTTTAGGGTTTCGATTACATTTCCTTATACCAGGCAAGCTCCTCTATTTTCTCAAGTTAACTAGTCAGGTGTAATCTCTCCAAAAATTTATGAAATTTTCCCTCCACGTGTGTTCTTTAATTTCCGTGCCAAAAACTATACACCCTATATTTAGGAACAGAGAGAGTAATTAATAATATGCCATTTTTATTAACAAGTGGATGACACTTTTACTACTAAAAACATGGATTTTTAATAATTAATAACCTGGAATTTTTATTATTAAGAGGCTGATAGTTTTACGATTAAGAGTATGTCATTCTGATTACTAATAACATGCCATTTTTATTATTAGGATGATGAGTATTATTTTATTAACAGGATGGCAACTTTATTAGAAAGAGCATGTCATTTTTTATTATTGTTGGTAAATAGGATGGCAGTTCTATTATTAAGAGGATGACATCTTTTTATTTCCATGGCATTTCTATGAATTTTTGCATGGTGCACCCAATAAAGCAAAAAAAGTTATAGCATGGCATTTTTGTTTTTGGTCCTAGGCAAAAATAAAGATAAAATATTCTCCCTAACATGTTTTTTACAGTGAAACATCCACATGGTGGAATTCATAGCATTTGTAAATTTATAAATTAGCATGGCAATTTTCTAAAGTAGGATGGAATTTTCCATATTTTCAAATCATGTCAATTGTACATTTTATGTGTTCTCTAATTTTTATAAGAAAATATGTATGTTTTTTTCATGGCATTTAAAAAAAGTAATCTGGGCCTTTGGGGCACCGAGGCTTCACCATGGCCCTTCCCCTAGTAACGATTAGGAGGGGGCGATACGTTCGGCTGGATTGCTCTCCCTAGTGACCGAACTCGTTCTATCGTCCCTCCTCCCGGGCAATTGAACGTTAGGTATTCATGTCCTATCAATATTGGGGTGCAGGGTTTTCTCTATTTTGTGTGTGCATTTACATTTTCTTGGCGGCAGCATCTCCATGTGGAGAATGACACGTATAAAAGTCTCAAGTGATTGTCATGGTTGAAGCAGTGGAGACTGAGAAGTTTGTTTTATTCTGTCATAGCATCGGCTGTAAACCTAGCGAAATGTCGCTCAGTGCTTCGGCTTATCTTGATGGCGGTGATGAAGATGATGGTGTTGAGTATGTTTCGGTGACGACTTCTCATGCTCCTTTCTTTTCTACTCTTTATGTTCTCATTTACCTATATGTAAGTTGTCTTTAAAAAAAAATTTGGGTCAGTCGATTTCTAGCCGTTTCTTTTGTCTAGATTCAAGTTGTCCTTTTTCTCCCTTTATGACTACCTGGGCTGAGTTTTTTTGACATGCCCATGTTTTATGTCAGTTGATTTTCTTATTGGGCTTGGAGCCCTGACCCATTGCATGTTTCTTTCAGTTTTTATGCATTTTTGCTTTTTACTTTTTTTAGCCATATTTTCTTTTTTCGTTTGTGGTTGTTTTTGTGATGTTGGATCAGTGTAAATGTATAAACAACATTCATTATATGTTTATTCTTTCTATAATTACAAAAAAACTACAATTTTAGTGCTTAGTTGTGTGCAAATATTTATTTTAGTTTAATTTCCTTTTTTTATTTAGGGATAATATGAATGCCACTAATTCATTTCTTCTTATACTCTTTTTTGTAAAAGGTTGACTATTTTCTTTTTTCTTTAGGGATAATACCAATGCACCTAATTCATTCGTTCGAAGAAAAGTTCCTTTTAGCAAAAAAATAATTATTTCATCTTTTACTTCTTTAGGGGGTATATGCTTGTTCTTGCATGCTACAAAAAAGCACAATTTATGTGTAAATTATGTGCAAACAAATGGCACTAATTCATTAAATCTTAGAAAACTTTATTTTAATATATTTTTCTAATTTTAAGATTTTTGAAAGATTCTAATTGCGTGTTATAAAAAACTGCAATTTCTATGTAAATTGTGTGCATATTATAAAAAACATGCATTACATTTAGAAAATGTTCATGCATTTCAAATGTATATTAAAGTAGTTTTAAGAAAAATGTTTATATAATGTAAAATATGGCAACTTAGTTTTAAAAATGTTTGTATTATTAAAGAAATGTTTCATCCTATGTTGAAAAAATATTCGATGTGTTTGAAAAATATTAAACATGTACAATGGTGTATACAAAAAATACACATGTGCATGAAAAAAATTACACATCAAAATATGCTTGAGAGCATACTAATCATATTTTTTTGCGGGCATACTAATAATGTATTTGAAAATTTAAATGCGTATAGAAATATTTCATATCTATACACAAAAATTACAATATTTATGAAAGAAATTAGACATCAAAAATTATATGTGAAAAAGTTATCATGTATTTAAAAAATGCTAAATTTGTACTAAAAATGTTTCCTAACGTACACCAAAAAT